CCCGCCACCTTAGGTGTATGTGGCTGGCGCCTTAGCCGCTTGAGCCACAGGCGCCAAGCCTAGACAGCTTTTAAATGGTACTAAATCCTAAACTTTGACAACATGAGGAAAATAACAAAGTAAGGACAACACCTTAGAACACAGCTTCAGACTCACAACTGCATACTGTGGCTTAGTTTAAAGCTACAGTAGAACCCCTTTGACCTTTACAGTTGTCATTTATGATACTGCTTATAAATAATGATCTCATTTTAATGTGACAATTCTGAGTATTTATGACTTTGGAATGTACACATCCAAAAAAACTTATTAAGAAAAATTTATACCTTTGAATATACTAGAATGTACAAACATACATGAAAAGGAGATTCAATGGTTTGTAACTATAATTATATTTTAAAAGATTTTTGTTCCTAAAATAGTTAACTGGATTTCAGGAGTTTAAAAATTAATCTTATTCCTTCTGGAGGACACATATGAAACTGGTAACAGGGCAGCGCCTGTGGCTCAGTGAGTAGAGCGCCAGCCCCATATACTGAGGGTGGCGAGTTCAAACCCAGCCCCAGCCAAACTGCAACAAAAAATAGCCGGGTGCTGTGGCAAGTGCCTGTGGTCTCAGCTACTTGGGAGGCTGAGGCAAGAGAATCGCCTAAGCCCAGGAGTTGGAGTTGGAGGTTGCTATGAGCTGTGATGTCACAGCACTCTACCACAAGCGACAGAATGAGACTCTGTCTCTTCAAAAAAAAGAAAAAGAAAAAGAAAAAGAAACTAGTAACAGAAAGGAACTCAGTGGACAAGGAGGAAGACTTAATTTTCACTTTATATATTTTGTACTCTTGGATTTGTACATGAATACATGTGTACTTATTACCTGCCCCAAAGAAAGAATGAAAACCAAAAAACAAAAAATTGAAGCAAAAACCTATCTTTGGCTTGGTGCCTGTAGCACAGTGGTTAGGGCACTGGCCACATACACCCAGGTTGGCAGGTTCAATCCTAGCCTAGGCCAGCTAAACAACAATGACAACTTGGGAGACTCAGGCAAGAGAATTGCTTAAACCCAAGAGTTTGAGGTTGCTGTGAGCTGTGATGCCACAGTACTCTACCGAGGGCGACATAGTAAGACTATCTCAAAAATTAAAAAAGAAAAACTATCTTGGAAGAAGGCTGGTAGGAGGGCCTATGCCTCTAGAATCTGAGTGTGTAGGAGTTGGTGGTTGATAGGCTGAGACACAGAGCCAGTGTCTCCTTGTTGAAGTTCTCAACTTACAAAGTTGTTGTAAGTTTTAAATTAATTAATACATATCAACTGCTTAGCATAGTGTCTGGCATAGTAAGGGTTCAATAAATGCCAATTTTTATTTGTTATCTTTGTTTACAATAAAAGATTAGTAAAACATGTTCTTAAAATTATACATTTGATTTCTTTCTTTCTTTCTTTGTTTTTGAGACAGAGTCTCACTTATGTCACTCTCAGTAGAGTGCCATGGCCTCATAGTTCACAGCAACCTCAAACTCTTAGGTTTAAATGATTCTCTTGCCTCAGCCTCCCAAGTAGCTGGGACTATAGGCACCCACCACAATGCCCAGCTATTTTTTTGTTGTAGTTATCATTGCTGTTTAGCAGGCCCAGGCTGGGATTGAACCCTCCAGCCCTGGTGTTATGTGGCCAGCACCCTAACCACTGAGCTATGGGTGCCACACCATACAACTGATTTCTAAAATCACATCTTAACTAGGCAAAGATTTTAAACTCATTGCATATATGTCCACACACATACATCACCCCATATTTCTAGTCTTTACAACTGGCTAGAAACTTTGAAAACATTGGTATAGAGTAAATAAATGTCAAAATATTTTACCACTAAGAAACTCAAGACGATAATCTGATGGCACATTATTAGATTAATATATTTTCAAATCTTTATTTTGCTTTTTTTCTATCTTTATTATTTTTTGAGACAGAATCTTAATTTTGTTGCCCTCAGTAGAGTGCTGTGGCATTATAGCCCACAGCAACCTCAAATTCTTGGGCTCATTTGCTACTCTTGCCTCAGCCTTCCAAGTAGCTAAGACTACAGGCACCTACCATAATACCCGGCTATATTTTTCTCTCTTTAAAATTATCATAAATTCTACTAATTTATAAAAAGATAGATTACATATTCTACTTGTTAACCATTCAAAAATCATTTCTTAAAAAAAGTACCTGTAAAAACATGCCATAACATGGTAATCCTAAACATTGCAAAGGAGTTGCACAGCCATTGAATTTAAAACAGGAAACCTATAAAGAAAACAACTGTTAATACCTTCTGGTCAGTGGAATTACAGAATGATTTGACATTCAAATTTAATGGAAATAAACAAGAATTTTTTCAGTGTATATTCTGATTAGCACTGTGTTATATAGGTGAGGATTACAAGGAGCTCACAAATTATTTAGAACAGTGGTTATCAACCTTCCTAATGCTGCAACCCTTTAATACAGTTCCTCATGTTGTGGTGATCCCCAACCATAAAATTATTTTCATTGCTACTTCATAACTATAATTTTGCTACTGTTATGAATTGTAATGTAATATCTGATATGCAGGATGGTCTTAGGCAACCCCTGTGAAAGGGTCATTCGACCCCCAAAGGGTTCATGACCCACAGGTTGAGAACTGCTGATTTAGAAGAATAAGATATACCTATATGAAATTATTACAATAATTCAGGTCAGAATATGTATAAATGTAAAATGAATAAACATGATAATCAGATATGTGAAAACTGGGAGAAGAGAAGTTTGAGAATGATCCAGAGAGTTTATTTATTTACTTATTTATTGAGACAGAGTCTCAGTTGCTCCAGGCTAGAGTGTCCAGGCATCATAGCTCACAGCAACCTCAAACTCCTGGGTTCAGGCAATTCTTTTGCCTCAGCCTCTGAAGTAGCGAGATTACAGGTGCTTGCTACAACGCCCCACTAATTTTTCTTTTCTTTTCTTTTTTTTTTATGCAGTTTTTGGCCGGGGCTGGGTTTGAACCTGTCACCTCCAGTATATGGGGCCAGCGCCCAACTCCTTGAGCCACAGACACCACCCTAATTTTTCTATTTTTAGTAGAGATGGGGTCTCTCTCTTGCTCAGGCTGATCTTGAACTCCTGAGCTCAGGTGATCCACCTGCCTCAGTCTCTCAGACCTAAAGAGTTTAATGAAAGAAACACAAAGTAAATAATGCCTAGAGTAGTATTTAGGTATAAAGAATGGAAAGAAGTAGTGAGAGACTCACTCTTGCTCAGGCTGGTCTCGAACTCCTGAGCTCAAGCAATACCCCTGCCTCAGCCTCGCAAAGTGCTAAGATTCCTGGTGTGAGCCACCATGCCTGGCTTAGAAAGAATAATTTTAATGCAGCATACAGAATGCTTTGAAGAGTAATGAAATGGATGGCAGGAAGATCATTCGGGAAGCTGCTGCAATAATATAGACTAAAACTCAATGCAAATATTGACATGAAAAAATGAGTGTATCAAAATGTTTGCATATTACTAAGTATAGAACTGAACCATCAGAGTTGGACATATGTTTGTATTTGTACAGTAAAACTTGGTCTTTATACAGAGAGATTATGCCCCAATGCATTGATACTCATATCATAAAAGGTTTGTCATTTTTTTTTTTTTGAGACAGAGTCTCACTAAGTCACCTTTGGTAGAGAGCCCTAGTGTCATAGCTCACAGCAACCTCAAACTCTTGGGCTCAAGTGATTCTCTTGCCTCAACCTCCCAAGTACTTGGGACTACAGGTAGCCTCCACAATGTCTGGCTATTTTTAGAGATGGGGTTTTGCTCTTGCAGACTGGTCTCAAACTTGTGAGCTTGAGCAATCCATCTGCTTTGGCCTCCCAGAGTGCTAGTATTATAGCCATGAGCTACCATGCCTGGCCTTAAATGATACAATTTTAACATTCATAAATTATTTCACTTTAATTAATATCTAAATCATCACTTTAAAACTTCCTTAGGAGTTCTATGTGGGGTAGATACTTTATTTTATTTATTTATTTATTTTTATTTTTTTGAGACAGAGCCTCAAGCTGAGCCCCTGGGTAGAGTGCCATGGCTTCACTGCTCACAGCAACCTCTAACTCCTGGGC